GTCTAATGCGCAATACTGTGCAATTGAAGATTTCTTCTTGAAACTTTTCAAAAATTTGAAATTTTGAAAATTTTGAAAAAAAAACCTTTAAAAAAAAATTGGAAACCCCCCTTCCCCCCAAACTTTTTGAATCCCCCTTTTAGCATTAACCATCAAACTCAATTGCAGTCTTTCCTTTGTAGTATGGAACCTTGTAGTACAATTTTAGAGAGATCCACACACTTAATCATAAGTTACTGTCTGGAAACTAGAAAAATGCTTTTTTTAACCATAAAAGCCCATTTAAATACATCATAAAAGTATTAAAATAGAAAATGACATCATAGTCATGGCTAAAATTAAAATTCCTTCATCAGCAACTTTTAATAGTAATATCTAAAAATAAAATTCCTTCATCAGCATTTAAAAGTAACTTCTAAAAATAAATTGACAGCTAGGACTTTGCACCCATAAAAACCCTTTTAAATACATCATAAAAGTGTAAAAATAGAAAATGACACCATAATCATGCCTAAAATCAAAACACTTTCATCAGCAACATTAAATAGTAATATCTAAAAATAAAATTCCTTCATATACACAATCATGGCTAAAATTAAATAATTTTTAAAATAGAAAATGACATCATAATCATGCTCAAATTAAAAAGCCTCCATCAGCAACATGAGATAGTAATATCTAAAAATAAAATTCCTTTGCATACATAATCATGGCTATAATTAAATTACCTTTATTAAACATTTTTTAAATAGTAACTTCTAAAAATAAATTGACAGCTAATCACCTGAAGACAATACATTTCTTTATAAATAATTTACAAGCAGTGTAAGGGAGGTAATTTGACAATGTGTTTGAATTACCTCCCTTACACTGCGTTAAAATTATGTTTTGTACTTAAGTAATTGTCCATTAACCTGGAAACCTTTGTTTTCCCCCTTATTTGCCCCTAATTCCTAAACAGTTTGAGCCATAACCCCCCAAAGCAAATTCTTATCATCCCTTTGTGATATGGTAACTTGTGGTATAATTTCAGAGAGATCCATACACCATTTCACAAGTCATTGTCTGGAAACTAGAATAATGCGTATTTGGGCCCCATTTTGGCCCCTAATTCCTGAACTGTTAGGACCATAAACCCCAAAATCAATCCCAACCTTCCTGTTGTGGTCATATATAAACCTTATGGTAGAAATTCATAGAAATCCATACACTTAAACAAAAGTTATTGTCCGGAAACCAATGTGTCTTCGGACGACGACGACGTGATACCAATATACGAACGCAAAATTTTTGCGGTCGTATAAAAACCGAGTAGAATTCACAGTAGATACAGACTTTGACATAAAATGAACAAATATGTCATTTTCTATAACATAAAATGCATTTGAATTTTATTTATCTAGGGCATGCTATGTCTTAAAACATTTCCAGATACATAGGTTTGTCTGTACTCGGAGTAAATTTTGAGGTGAAAACACAGCCATTTTAGCCAAAGGGTCCACATGAACTATAATTATTGCATTCAATCAATTTTACCTTTGAGATCTGATCTAAAGTGAAGTGTTTGAAACTATTTATAAATACATTGGAAAGAAACAAATATAATTTGTATTTTGATGTTATTTATAAATACCCTTAAAACTTTTCCAGATGCACAGGTTTGTCTGTACTCAGAGTAAATTTTGAGGTGAAAACGTAGCCATTTTAGCCAACGGGTCCACATGAACCTTAATGCAAATAATGAAGAAAGTGTTGTCGTATATAGTAACTGTGTAATTCAAACTTTGGATTAAAATCAAATATGTATTCAGCTATATCCGATTTCAGTGCGGACAACGAAGAGGATATAGTTGTAGCAACCAGTGGCGTAGCTAGGCCATTTTTACGTATACGCCCGAACCTCGGCGTGGGTCTGGGGGCCCAGCGGGTCCAGGGCAGAGGACATCCCAGTAAGGTAGGAAAACCCCTAAAGCTCACGCGTTATCAAGAAAGAGGTACCGTTTCTATTATTAAAAACTCATCAATAGCAACAACTTTACGACAAAAGAGATAAGTTCAGCTTCCCAATTGTGAAATTTCCATTTCTATGTAGCAACATACCAGCAGCAACTGCATATGGAGTATATATCTCCCAGCTGATACGATATTCCAGAGCTTGCATTTCCTATCGTGATTTCCTTGATAGAGGGTTGCTGCTTACAAGGAAGCTATTGAACCAAGAGTTCCTAATGGTGAAGTTGAAATCGTTTTCATTCAAAAATATTTACGGCCGTCATCACGAGTTGGTTGACCGTTATGGAATAAAATTTTGAATGGAAACGGAGAATGCGTCAAAGAGACAACAACCCGACCAAAGAGCAGAAAACATCCCAAGGCCACCAATGGGTCTTCAACACAGCGAGAAAATCCCGGACCCGGAGGTGGGCTTCTGTTTCATAAGTGACGACGGATATGTTCCAATTTGCTGTAACCACAATTCCGTCCTCTTTTCCTCGAATGTGACATACCGAATTAGAATTATTAGCGGGTTCGTACTTACATGAGCGACACGACGGGTGACCGCAGTGGTCGAACCCTGAACAGTTGGGGCAAATTTGGACACACTATTCAAGCTTGGTACTATCTAAATTTGGATTGTGATCAAATTTCTGACATAATATAGGTTTCTGACACAAAATAAATGTGGTCAAAGATCTTACAAGTCTAATGCGCAATACTGTGCAATTGAAGATTTCTTCTTGAAACTTTTCAAAAATTTGAAATTTTGAAAATTTTGAAAAAAAAACCTTTAAAAAAAAATTGGAAACCCCCCTTCCCCCCAAACTTTTTGAATCCCCCTTTTAGCATTAACCATCAAACTCAATTGCAGTCTTTCCTTTGTAGTATGGAACCTTGTAGTACAATTTTAGAGAGATCCACACACTTAATCATAAGTTACTGTCTGGAAACTAGAAAAATGCTTTTTTTAACCATAAAAGCCCATTTAAATACATCATAAAAGTATTAAAATAGAAAATGACATCATAGTCATGGCTAAAATTAAAAAACCTTCATCAGCAACTTTTAATAGTAATATCTAAAAATAAAATTCCTTCATCAGCATTTAAAAGTAACTTCTAAAAATAAATTGACAGCTAGGACTTTGCACCCATAAAAACCCTTTTAAATACATCATAAAAGTGTAAAAATAGAAAATGACACCATAATCATGCCTAAAATCAAAACACTTTCATCAGCAACATTAAATAGTAATATCTAAAAATAAAATTCCTTCACATACACAATCATGGCTAAAATTAAATAATTTTTAAAATAGAAAATGACATCATAATCATGCTCAAATTAAAAAGCCTCCATCAGCAACATGAGATAGTAATATCTAAAAATAAAATTCCTTCACATACATAATCATGGCTATAATTAAATTACCTTTATTAAACATTTTTTAAATAGTAACTTCTAAAAATAAATTGACAGCTAATCACCTGAAGACAATACATTTCTTTATAAATAATTTACAAGCAGTGTAAGGGAGGTAATTTGACAATGTGTTTGAATTACCTCCCTTACACTGCTTTAAAATTATGTTTTGTACTTAAGTAATTGTCCATTAACCTGGAAACCTTTGTTTTTCCCCCTTATTTGCCCCTAATTCCTAAACAGTTTGAGCCATAACCCCCCAAAGCAAATTCTTATCATCCCTTTGTGATATGGTAACTTGTGGTATAATTTCAGAGAGATCCATACACCATTTCACAAGTCATTGTCTGGAAACTAGAATAATGCGTATTTGGGCCCCATTTTGGCCCCTAATTCCTGAACTGTTAGGACCATAAACCCCAAAATCAATCCCAACCTTCCTGTTGTGGTCATATATAAACCTTATGGTAGAAATTCATAGAAATCCATACACTTAAACAAAAGTTATTGTCCGGAAACCAATGTGTCTTCGGACGACGACGACGTGATACCAATATACGAACGCAAAATTTTTGCGGTCGTATAAAAACCGAGTAGAATTCACAGTAGATACAGACTTTGACATAAAATGAACAAATATGTCATTTTCTATAACATAAAATGCATTTGAATTTTATTTATCTAGGGCATGCTATGTCTTAAAACATTTCCAGATACATAGGTTTGTCTGTACTCGGAGTAAATTTTGAGGTGAAAACACAGCCATTTTAGCCAAAGGGTCCACATGAACTATAATTATTGCATTCAATCAATTTTACCTTTGAGATCTGATCTAAAGTGAAGTGTTTGAAACTATTTATAAATACATTGGAAAGAAACAAATATAATTTGTATTTTGATGTTATTTATAAATACCCCCCCCCCCCCCCCCCCCCCTTTTCCCAAGCAACACCAGAGGTCGATTTTTATATCCAAAGACGGACGAGGATAAATATTTTGCAAAAAGAAATACCTAAAAGAACCAAAAACAACTTACAACTAGCATCATCAACCAAGTTGATGCTAACAGAGACAACCGAAAAAACGAGAAAAATGGCCATTGAATCAGTATTAACGCTAGCTGCGTTAGAATCGGGTTTTTGTTTCAAGAAACCGTCTTGATGAGTGACGAAATTATTACATGCCGTATTGGAAGGTGACCTTACAAAATATGTTTGTGTAATTGTCATTTGTTCTTTCGTTGTAAATTTTTTTCATATGAAGAAAACAAATGTGTGAATTGATTGATTTTGTTCAGTCCTAGAACAATTATATATCATTTACCTGTAAGAATCAATAATTATGCTACCTTCAGCTGTCCACTATTTTTAAGAAAGAGGAGGGTTAGTCTTAAAAATATAGGACAGTTAAAGGTAACATAATGGTTTCTTACATGTAAATGATAGTCCTATCACTGACATAAAGAACGGGTACAACAATAGAATGACGTCAGACTCGCAACAATGTTTTGATGTTAATTACATGAATTGAAACGCCCCTTTCTGTCTATCGTTAACATTCGGTATTAGGGCATAATGTGAGAGAGTAAGGGAAATAACCGAAAAGTATTATCTAACGTAAACAAAACAGAAAGAAGAAAAACCAACTCGCATGGACAACTGTTGCTAATGCCTATATTTAGAAGCAGAAGTATTATCTGTCATTAAAATGGCACCTCCAACAATATTGGAAAGATATGTTGCCGCGATGGTGTTGAGTGGCGTAGGCGACGCGATGGGATATAAAAATGGAAGTTGGGAGTTTTGTCATTCGGGGAGCGCTATTCACCAGGAAGCTAAAGAATTGGGAGGAATTGAAAAGTTGAAGATTACATTACCAAAATGGATGGTTAGCGATGACACTGTTTTACATTTGGCAACTGCAGAAGCTTACATGGTATTTATAATTTTATTTCTCTAATTCTTTGACAATTTATACCTTTCTGCACTCATTGTATAAAAAAATTTAATCAACGTGTGGTTGCCGGTGATCTCAGAAGATGATTGGATGAATTTAAGGGTCATAACCTTTATCAGCTCAAAATATGCTAACAGGTGTTAATGAAATTGACAACTTTGTGAAATGTGGAAGGAACTCGAAGGGGGTTTTGGTTTAACAAAAATTGAAAATGTATTTTTTAATCATTAGAGAAACAGATTCTTACATAGTTGACCCCCCCCCCCCCCCCCCCCCCCATAGTTACTCGTGAATTATCGGATTTATCCAATCTCGATAATTAAATTATAAATTTTGAAGTCCTCGCCAAGGCTCAGACTTTAAAATCGATAATTTAACTATCTCGATTGGATAAATCCAATAATCCACTGGTATCAATGTAAGAATCTATATTTATCTGTCTATTCTGGGGACAGTATGTCTAATGTCAATATATATATTCCTGGTCTATTATAAACTTTTTCCGGAATCCGAGTCAGTACTTTACTTTAACGTTATATCCTATAGATAGATAAATAGTAAGTAACATTTTTATACAACCGCAAAATTTTTGCGGTCGTATATTGGTATCGCGTCGTCGTCGTCAGCGTCGTCCGAAGACATTTGGTTTCCGGACAATAACTTAAGTAAATGTAATTAGAAATCTATGAAATTTAAATACAAGGTTTATAACCACAAAAGCAAAATTGGGATTTATTTTGGGGATTATAGTCCTAACAGTTTAGGAATTAGGGGCCAAAAAGGGGCCCAAATAAGCATTTTTCTAGTTTCCAGACAATAACTTGTGGAACGGTGTATATATGGATCTCTCTGAAATTATACCACAAATTTCAATACCACAAAGGGATGGTTAGGATTGGCTTTGGGGGGTTATGGCTCAAACCGTTTAGGAATTAGGGGCAAAAAAGAGGGAAAAACAAGGGTTTCCTGGTTAATAGACAATTTAAAAAAAAGTACAATGTTATGTTTGGATTACCTCCCTTACACTGCTTTTAAATTATGTATAAAGAAATGTTGTATTGTCTTGAGGTGATAAGCTGTCAATTTATTTTTAGAAGTTACTATTTAAAAATGCTGATTGAGGAATATTAATTTTAGCCATGATTATGTATGTCATTTTCTATTTTAAGACTTTTATGATGTATTTAAATGGGTAATTATGGTTGCAAACTCCATTGGAAATTTGAATTGAGAGTATGACCATATCTTGAGGGAAAGAATTTTTTTTTTTTTTTGGGGGGGGGGGGGGTAAAAAAGAAATTGTGAGGGGGGCAATTTTTGGGGGGGGTATCAATTTGCAACAGCATAGTGTATTCCTCAAAAGCAAAAAAAAAAAACGGGGGGTAAATTTCTTTTAATTTTTTTTCGGGGGGGGGGGGGGGGGTCAATTCGCAACAGCATAGAGTATTGCACTAAAACAAAAATTGAATATAAATTCAAATCATATAACCAATTCTAAGTTCTTTGACTACAGTTATTCTGTGTCAGAAACCTATTATGTGTCCAATATTTAATTACAATCCAAATCAGACCTGTTGCTCTGACTCCAACGGCTGTTTTGCCAGACAAGCTGGGGCCGTGGGACTAAAGTACCATGCAATGATGTCATTTTTAAAGTAATATATATCTTCGTTTTTTCAGTTATGGAAAAGTTACTATATATATCTTAAATTGTTAATATTGCCTACCAATACATAATACAATGCAATGTTTAATTTTTAGTTTCCACTACAAAATATATGCAATCTTTACTCTTCAGTGCTCACCGAGACTACTTTAAGTTTTATATGAATATGCTTCTTTCAAGCTACCATCCGAAAAACACTTTGCCAACAAAAAAAGTCTTTTAGCAACAGTTACATTGTACTTTGACCGTTAACCTATTGACCCCAACATATATGGGATTTTCACCTATATCTTTCATCTGTATAAGTTTCATTCCAATCAAGAAAGTGAAACTTAAGTTGCCATCTGGAAACCATTTTTTCAACCCAAAACATCTATTTTTAGCAATTACAGGTGACTTTGACCTACTGACAAAAGAAGAAGGGTTTTTCCCACTTCCATATATCTTCTATTTGTATCAGTTTCATTCCAATCAAGCAAGGGAAACTTAAGCTATATCGAATCCGAAAATCGTTTTTCCAAACATTTTTTGAATAGCCTTGACCTAGACTTATTCACACCAAAATTTCCAGATTTATTTCTGTTGCCTTTATCATCTATCTGTATAAGTTTCATTTCAATGAAGCAAATGTTACTTCAGTTAGCTTCCGGAATGTAGTTCCGATCAAACTAACTCAAGCAGAAAACTTAATTAATTGAAATTCACTGCACCATGACCTAAGGCGACAGTGAATCGAAATAGTCGTCAAACTGATGTGTACTGATAGTAATGCAACTTTATAGAAAATATCATTGATCTATCACAAGTAATTCCAATCAAACTGACTTAAGCAGAAAACTAAACATTGAAAACTGCTACTTTATTCAAAGTCACTGGACCATGACATAGGGGAGAGGGCCTCAGAAAAGTCGTCAAACTGATATGCACTGATAGTAATGCAAATGCATACAAAATATCATTGATATATCACAAGTAGTTCTTATCAAACTAACTTAAGCAGAAAACTTAACAATTGTTGACGCCATCTCCGCCGGAAAAGCAATCCCTATGTCTCGCCTGCTGCGACTTTCGTCGAAGGCGAGACAAAAATCAGTTGGGAATGGGAGATCAGTACGAAGCACACAAATAAAACAACTAATATACAGACAAAACACACATAGTACCGATATAAGAGAAGTCGCAGTTACTAAAAGTTTATCAAGACAAAAAAAAATGGAAAGCAAAAAAAAAGTGTGAGAGCATAAAAAAATAAGGGAACAAAAATGTTCTAAGTTTTACTTTGCCTGGGTGAATTGTATAATTGCAGTTTTGTGAACTGGAAATTTACAAACAATTTCTATCCTTTAAATCATGCCAATACCGAGTAATTGCTACTGGATGGATGTTACAATGTACCAGAGGTGGATCCAGGATTTTTGAAAGGGGAGGCGTAATTTCATAAATGGCTTATATACCTACAAAAATGTTTGGACGATTTTATGATATAAATCGTGAAAAACATGGTATACTTTTTTTGGGCAATCAAAAGGGGCGTACGCCCTATACGCCCCATGCCCATGATTCCGCCGTTGTGTACCCTCAGGGACTTAATAGTACGTCAGGTGCTTTATATAGAGATTTTTAAACACAAAACCTAATAAAACTGTTATCACAGAGATATGTCTCGCCTTTTTGTAATTTTGATGATGCAAATGTTGAAATTAAAATAGCAATACTTTAACATGTAAGTTATGCAAATATTCAAAGTCGATGAACCATGACTGAAGGTACATGGCTAAAAAATCTACATGAAAATGAGATGTGCCAATGCTTATACAACTGCATACTAAATACCATTGACTTATTATAAGTCGTTCCCTTTAAACAAACCTAAACACAAACATTAACTTGTAAACTATGTAAAAGTTTCAAAGTCAATGAACCATGATGAGGGGGTGGGGCTATATAATCTCCATGGAAATGATACTTGCAAATGACAATAAATTTGCATATAAAATATCGTTGACTTAACATTAGCAGTTCATCTTAAACTGATCTAATCACAAACTAATACATGTAAACTAAGCAAAAGTTTCAAAGCAATATAGACCATGACTGAGGGGGCGGGGCCAAATATTATCCATGGAAATGAGATGAAACTGAATACAAATTAACATTGGCGTACCACTAATGGTTCCCCTTGAACTGACCTAATCACAAACTAATACATGTAAACTAAGCAAATTTTCAAAGTCATAAAATTGAGAATGGAAATGGGGAATATCTCAAAGAGACAACAACCCGACCAAAGAGCAGACAACAGCCGAAGGCCACCAAAAGACCATGACTAAGGGGACGGAGCCAAATAATCTTCATGGAAATAAGATATACCAATGCTTATACAACTGCATAACAAATATCATTGACCTACCACTAGTAGTTCCCCATAAACTGACCTAATCACAAACTAATACATGTAAACTAAGCAAAATTTTCAAAGTCAACAGACTATGACTGAGGGGGCAGGGCCAAATAATCTCCATGGAAATGAGATGTGCTAATGCTAATACAACTGCATACCAAATATCATTGACCTACCACTTGTGGTTCACCATAAACTAGACCTAATCACAAACTAATACATTGTTGACGACGCCGCCGCCGCCGCTGCCGGAAACAACATACCTATGTCTCGCTTTTTGACTCCGTCAAGGCGAGACAAAAACCAGCTGTTCTCTTGGATTCGATTAAAAAAAAGTCCTCTCTATTTTGCATTGGATATAGCTTTGCTTGATTGAAGTAAATTACCACAATTAAACTTTGTTTACCCTTTCTAAAAAGTTGCATGGGAAATAACATAATGTTATGTATTGTTTATAAACGTGTTTGTCCTTTTCCGAAAATCTGCCGACATTTTAATTTCACGTTCTTCAGATTTCCACAACTTGCTAAACCACTGAGAGTTTCTCCAGTGTGAATCGTCCAATGCTGTTCACTGTACGATTCAAACTTTTTTTATTATTTTCCCATCTATAAATGAAGACTCGACGGTGACAGGCCCGCCCCTATCTCCCACCTCCCACTTTTAGAATCTTTTTTGTCGAGCCTGCGACTTTTGTCGCAGAAAGCTCGACATAGGGATAGTGATCCGGCGGCTACGGCGGCGTTAGCTAACTTCTTAAAAGCTTTATATTTTAGAAGGTGGAAGACCTGGATGCTTCATACTTTGTATATGGATGCCTCATGTTACGAAGTTTCCGTCAGTCACATGTCCAATGTCCTTGACCTCATTTTCATGGTTCAGTGACTACTTGAAAAAAAGTTAATATTTTTTGTAATGTTAAATTCTCTCTTATTATAAATAATATATTTGGTATGTGCGTACCTTGCAAGGTCCTCATGCCTGTCAGACAGTTTTCACTTGACCTCGACCTCATTTCATGGATCAGTGAACAAGGTTAAGTTTTGGTGGTCAAGTCCATATCTCAGATACTATAAGCAATAGGTCTAGTATATTCGGTGTATGGAAGGACTGTAAGGTGTACATGTCCAACTGGCAGGTGTCATCTGACCTTGACCTCATTTTCATGGTTCAGTGGTTATAGTTAAGTTTTTGTGTTTTGGTCTGTTTTTCTTATACTGTATGCAATAGGTCTACTATATTTGGTGTATGGAATGATTGTAAGGTGTACATGTCTAGCTGGCAGGTGTCATCTGACCTTGACCTCATTTTCATGGTTCAGTGGTTATAGTTAAGTTTTTGTGTTTTGGTCCGTTTTTCTTATACTTTATGCAATAGGTCTACTATATTTGGTGTATGGAATGATTGTAAGGTGTACATGTCCAACTGGCAGGTGTCATCTGACTTTGACCTTATTTTCATGGTTCAGTGGTCAAAGTTAAGTTTTTGAGTTTTGGTCTTTTTTCTTATACTATATGCAATAAGTCAACTATATTTGGTGTATGGAAATATTCTATGATGTACATGTCAGTCTTGCATGTTTTATTTGACCTTGACCTCATTTTCACGGTTCATTGCTCAGTGTTAAGTTTATGTGTTTCAGTCTGTTTTTATTCTTAAACTATAAGCAATAGGTCAGCTATATTTGTTGTATGGAAGGATTGTAAGCTGTTCATGTCTGTCTGGTATGGTATATCTGACCTTGACCTCATTTTCACGATTCATTGGTCAATGTTTAGTTTTCTTGGTTAAGTCTGTTTCTTAGAAACTATAAGCAATAGGTCAACTATATTTAGTGTATTGAATGATTGTAAGGTGTACATGTATTTCTCGTTTGGTTTATATGACCTTGACTTCATTTTCTTGGATCATGTTAAGTTTATGTAATAGTTGTAGTAAAGCTTTCATTTAGGACTATCAACATAATATCAATGGTTAGTAAAGAAGGCGAGACATTTCAGTGTGTGCACTCTTGTTTCTCTCCCACCTATTTTTTGTCTCCCACCTCCCGCCCCAACCTCCCTCAAAAGCTGTCCACCCCCTCATTCAATAGGCCCTATTGTATAGCATCTGCATTAGAATTTAAATAACATTTGATAATAAATACTTTTAATACATGCAGTTGTCAGTCTTAGATTTTTATACGACCGCAAAAAATTTTTGCGGTCGTATATTGGTATGACGTTGGCGTCGTCGTCGTCGTCGTCGTCGTCGTCCGGCGTCGTCCGAAGACACATTGGTTTTCGCACTCTAACTTTAGTTTAAGTGAATGGATCTCTATGAAATTTTACCATAAGGTTCAATACCACAAAAGGAAGGTTGGGATTGATTTTGGGGGTTATGGTACCTACAGTTAAGGAATTAGGGGCCAAAAAGGGGCCAAAAATAAGCATTTTTGTAACTTCCAGACATAACTTGTGTGTTAGTGTATGGATCTCTCTGACATTCTTCCACAAGGTTCCATATCACACAGGGAATGCTGGGATTGATTTTGGGGGTAATTGCCTCAAAATATTAGGAATTAGGGGCCAAAAAAGGGGCAAAAAACAAGCATTTTTCTAGTTTCATGACAATAACTTGTGTGTAAGTGTATGGATCTTTCTGAAATTGTACTACAAGGCTCCATATCACAAAGAGAAAGCTGGAATTGAGTTTGGGGGTAATTGCCCTAAACGTTTAGGAATAAGGGGCCAAAAAGGGGCCAAAAATAAGCATTTTTCTAGTTTCCAGACAATAACTTGTGTTCAAGTGTATGGATCTCTCTGAAATTGTACCACAAGGTTCCATATCACACAGGGAATGCTGGGATTGATTTTGGGGATAATTGCCTCAAAATATTAGGAATTAGGGGCCAAAAAAGGGGCAAAAAACAAGCATTTTTCTAGTTTCATGATAATAACTTGTGTGTAAGTGTATGGATCTTTCTGAAATTGTACTACAAGGTTCCATATCACAAAGGGAAAGCTGGAATTGAGTTTGGGGGTAATTGCCCAAAATGTTTAGGAATAAGGGGCCAAAAAGGGGCCAAAAATAAGCATTTTTCTAGTTTCCAGACAATAACTTGTGTTCAAGTGTATGGATCTCTCTGAAATGGTACTGCAAGGTACCATACCACAAAGGGAAGGCTGGGATTGAGTTTGGGGGTGATGAATCATAAGGGGGTTCATAAAATTTGGGGGGGGGGATTTTTTTTTTTTTTTTCCTTTTTTTCTTTTTTTCCTTTTTTTTCTTTTAAAATTTTCCATTTTAAGTTGGTTATTTCTCTGTTTTATATTTAAAAGCAAATAATAATGATATGGTAGGAGATACACACCAAACAGGATGTGTAAATTATTATATAAAAAGTATTGTGCAATAGCAAGAAATTTTCAATTGCACAGTATTGCACAATAGCAAGAAATCTTCAATTGCACAGTATTGCGCATTAGCAAGAAATCTTCAATTGCACAGTATTGTGCAATAGCAAGAAATATCCAATAGCACAATATTGCGCAATAGCAAGACATTGTCAATTGTACAGTTTTGCGCAATTGCAAGAAATATTCAATTGCACAGTATTGTGCAAAAGAGGATACTTCGTATAAGTTGCTTATTTCTTGACCAATTTCAATGGGGTTTTATTCTTGAATTCTTGGGGTTCTTAAATATGCTGATTTTAACCGTGTATTAAGTTTTTGGATTTTGGGCCCCGTTTTTAAAATGGTCCACATTGAGGTCCAAAGGGTCCAAAATTAAACTTAGTTTGATTTTAACAAAAATTGAATTCTTAGGGTTCTTTGATATGCTGAATCTAAACATGTATTTAATTTTTGATTATGGGCCTAGTTTTCAAGTTGGTCCAAATCGGGGTCCAAAATTAAACTTTGTTTGATTTCATCAAAAATTGAATTCTTGGGGTTCTTTGATATGCTGAATCTAACCATGTATTTAGATTTTGGATATTGGACCATAATAGGTGAATGTTCAATTTAAAATTTTTAAGTTCTAAGACCACATTCATTCTGTCAGAAACCTATGCTGTGTCAAATATTTAATCACAATCCAAATTCAGAGCTGTATCAAGCTTGAATGTTGTGTCCATACTTGCCCCAACTGTTCAGGGTTCGACCTCTGCGGTCGTATCAAGCTGCGCCCTGCGGAGCATTTTATTATAGCTTTCTATACAGTATTGGTTTAAATCATTGTAGAAGGTCATAAAGAAATGCCTGAAATATTTGCCACTGGACGTTAAGCAACCAACAATCAATCAATCAAGCATTGAAGAAGGCTGTAACCCACATCGTTTGGTCTCTGATTGATAGTCGTCTCATTGGCAATCATACTGCAAAGTCTTATTTATGGCATTATTCATACCGCAAAGTCTTATTTTATATTAACCAAAAGCATTTTAAATGTGCCTGGCCCATGCTATTCCAAGTTCAATGCATAATGTAAAAATGAACATTTACTGGTCAATAAACCAAATTCGAGTTTTATTTATGAACGAGATACACATGTTGACAAATGGTGTCGGCGAATATAAAAATACAATACAGTTCCTTAATTGAGTCGGTTAAATAGTCCACAGGCTATTTGACCTGATCCGGCTGTATAGCACCTAAAGATCTGAAGATATTGCGTTGTTAAAGTTATTTTTGGTGATTTACAGGAAACCAAAGACACAAAAGACAAAGAAACTTTATATAAGCATATTGCAGAAAAATATAAAAATGGTATGCGCGACATGAGTGGAAGGGCACCTGGTCCAACAACAATGGATTCTTGTCATATGCTGAAACCTTCAAGAGAAAAGGGCTATGAAATTCCATTCAATCCGCGAGGTGGTGGCTGTGGCGCTGCTATGCGGGCAATGTGTATTGGTCTTGTATATCCGAAATCTGAAAATCTATCCGATTTGATCGCCGATGGAATAGAATCCGGACGTATGACTCATCACCACCCAACGGGATTTTTAGGAAGTTTAGCTGCCGCTTTGTTTACATCTTACGCCATACAGAACAAGCCAGTAGAACAGTGGGGTGCGGGTTTGATGGACACTCTACCCGCTGCCCGTAAGTATATACAGGACAGGGGTCATGCGGTTAATGAGAATTTAAAAGAATGGGGATATTTCGAAAATGCATGGAAAAATTATTTAGAAACACGAAACATTACATCTGGGAATACTCATCCGAAATTCCCATCAGATTATGGAATCGAAGCACGTGATAAATTTTACAAGTCTGTAAGTTTTTCCGGTTGGGGTGGGGCTAGTGGACATGATGCTCCAATGATTGCATATGATGCTATACTCGGCTCGGGAGATAGTTGGATTGAGATATGTAAAAGGGGTATTTTACATTCTGGAGATAATGACAGCACAGGAGTTATGGCAGGTTGTTGGTTTGGAGCAATGTATGGACTTTTGGGAGTTCCCGATAATCATCATAAAAAACTTGAATACCGAAAACGTCTTGAAAAGGCCGGAGAAAAGCTTTACAAATTGGCACATACAGGAAAAGAAAAACAATCATCGATAGTTTCTTGTCAAACAGAGGGTAATGACGAAACTGAGGCTTGTAGTGATTCAAGTAAGAAAAGTCCTTTATCTGCGCATGATCAAGGAATTTCTGAGGAATCAAGCCAGACAAATGAGGTAAAAAGCACAATAACGAATATTGTAGAAGGCGGAACATCTGAATCTAAAGACAGTGAACAAGTTGACAAAGCAGACCCAGTGGAAGTTAGTGTAGACAGGTCAAAACAAACAACCAACCAAGATACAGATACGAAAGTAACAGAAAAAGTGCAAACCAATGTTTGACGCACTGTCTGGAATTTTTCAACAAATTGTTTTTGTATTTAACAAAATAAACTATATGCATACGTAGCATTAGAGTATACTCTTGCACAGGTGGAATATAGGTAATATCAGTAGTTTGCTAAAAAAATGACTTAGATATAAACTGATTAAGTTTTAAAAAGCACTAATCTTAGTATCGTTTGTTTTATCAATCATTTGTAGAAGCTGTATTTTTTAACTGAATATAAAATGTAATGAAATACAATAAAACTGTAACCAACTGTGATGTCAGTTATGTTCAACATTATACATAAAATGTTAGCGCCGCCGATATCAACTTAATATTAGCACAAATAGAATAATTTACATCAGCCTCAATACTGTAGATGCATGAAACTGCATTAACAAACTGTATATAATGAGTTTTGTTCATTGTTGAAAGCCATACGATGACTTTTAGTTGCTAATTTCTACGTCATTTGGTGTCTGGCGGAAATTTGTCTCATCTGCAATCATGCCACATCTTCATATTTTTATGTGTATAAAATAATCCTAGTATAAATCACATTCTCAGTGTAATGGTAGTTTTTATACGACCGCAAAAAAATTTTGCGGTCGTTTATTGGTATGACGTTGGCGTCGTCGTCGTCGTCCGAAGACACATTGGTTTTTGCACTCTAAATTTAGTTTAAGAGAATGGATCTCTATGAAATTTTACCATAAGGTTCAATACCACAAAAGGAAGGTTGGGATTGATTTTGGAGGTTATGGTACCAACAGTTAAGGAATTAGGGGCCAAAAATAAGCATTTTTGTAACTTCCAGACATAACTTGTGTATTAGTGTATGGATCTCTCTCACATTGTACCACAAGGTTCCATATCACAAAGGGAATGCTGGGAATGATTTTGTGGGTAATTGCCTCAAAATTTTAGGAAGTAGGGGCCAAAAAAGGGGCAAAAAACAAGCATTTTTCTAGTTTCATGACAATAACTTGTGTGTAAATGTATGGATCTTTCTGAAATGGTACTACAAGGTTCCATATCACAAAGGGAAAGCTGGAATTGAGTTTAGGGGTAATTGCCCAAAACGTTTAGGAATAAGGGGCCAAAAATAAGCATTTTTCTAGTTTCCAGACAATAACTTGTGTTCAAGTGTATGGATCTCTCTGAAATTGTACTGCAAGGTACCATACCACAAAGGGAAGGCTGGGATAGAGTTTGGGGGTGATGAATCATAAGGGGGTTCAAAAAATTGGGGGGGGGGATTTTTTTTCCTTTTTTTCCTTTTTTTTTCCTTTAAAATTTTCCATTTTAAACTGGTTATTTCTGATTTATATATAAAAGCAAATAATAATGATATGGTTTAAATAGGTAAATTAAAAAAATTTAAGTTCTTAGACCACATTCATTCTGTGTCAGAAACCTATGCTGTGTCAAATATTTAATCACAATCCAAATTCAGTGCTGTATCAAGCTTGAATGTTGTGTCCATACTTGCCCCAACTGTTCAGGGTTCGACCTCTGCGGTCGTATCAAGCTGCGCCCAGCGGAGCATTTTATTTTTTGTTACTATCTTATCTGATTCGTGAAGAAAGGCGATCAAAAGAGCATTTTACTAACATTTGGTCTTGACAATCTAATTCTCGTACAATAAAAAAATAAGGAGAGGTGGTATGATTGCCAATTTGATAACAACCCACCAGAGTCCAATTGTCGAGGATGTAAGCAACTATAGGGCACTGTACCTTCAAGAATGAGAAAAGTAAATGCCACATAGTAAGTTAAAAAAAAAAAGGCCCCGACATGACACAATGTATGTGAAACAATTTAAAAGAGAAAACCAACTGCCTGATGTATGCTAAAATCAACAAACGAAAAAACAATATTTCAAACAGTAACCAACGAGAACCACTGAATTGCAGGCTTGTGGTATGTAACGTGAATGCAACAGCACAATATAAAAGTAAAATATTAAAATCAGTAAAAGCTGGACTCATCAGATCGGCACACAAAAAACCCTAACAAAAAGGTAAAAAAAAAACAAGGTACTGATCCATAGGTTCTCGCAGTTACTGAAAGCTAGTTCAAAGCCATGGCAATTCTAACATGAAAAAACCTTGTTTTTCCCGACTACCACTATAAGTATTTTACATTTATTTCTATGTCAATAGTTAGTCACGTTCACAATTTTAGTGAGTTCACCGGACACAAGTTTGAAATAAATGGAGAATGTGTCCATGTGACACAGATGATGCCCCGCTTGCATATAACGTTATAAAGGGATATAACTCAAGAACGGTAAAAGTGACGCCACCCAAATTCGAACTTGATCTGTGTTTTATGGTAATAAACATTGTGTATAAGTTTCATAACATTTGATTGAGGCAAACTAAATTTAGAGAACGGAAACTAATTTTGGGACGTACGTAAGTACGGACGAACGGACGGACGGATAAGGGTAGCACTTAAAAAATCCCTGAAATTGTTAGTGATTTTATAAAATCACTGAAAGTATTGCTAGGGATTTTGTAAAATCCCTGTTTACAAGTTTAAACTTGATATAAGAAATGTGTTTTACTTAATATAAATAAACCAAAGATTTTGAAATACACTTTTTTAATAAACACTACCAGTATACTACACTTAGAATTACATTTGAGCGCAAGAAAATCTTGTGAATCGGCTGAATCCCGGGGTCGAAGTTCAACATATCAACGGAAATTTTTGCGTGTGCTATCGTTGCTTTACATCGAGGCCACAGCTTTTCAACCAATCGGGAAATGTTTACTTGGGGCATACATCTATTTTTACTGCAGGTTTTGACATGTTTAAATCGGCAGTGGCGGATCCAGAAATTTTCATAAAGGGGGGGGGGGCACTGACTGCCTAAGAGGGGGCCCGCTCCAGTCATGCTTCAGTGATTCCCTATATAATCAACCAAATTTTCCCACCAAAAGGGGGGGGGGGGGGGGGCCGGGCCCCCTGAAAAACCCTCTAAATCCGCCTCTGATCGGGATTATAGAAAAATGGAATGTTGTTGGTAGATACAAAACAGAAAATGATGAACACTTTTAGCAAAAGATAAATTGGATCGGGGGTCTGTGTATTCACATTATTTGTACAACTATCCTTACTCTTGGGAAGCGTGTGCTTTACATCGAGGCTTGCGTTGCCTTACATCGACGCCATAGTAGTTCAACCAATCGGGGAATGTTTATTTGGGGCATACATCTATTTTTACTGCAGGTTTGGCGTATTTTAATCGAAATTAGAGAAAAATGGAATGATGTTAGGAGATAAAAAACAGAAAATGATAAATACTTTTAGCAAAAGATGAATTGGTTCGGGGTTCTGTGTATTCACATTATTTGTACAACTCTCCTTACTGATGGCAAAAAATGGAATTTCCGTGACCTAAATGGTTCGCGAAAATTAATATTTTTATATATAGTATAGTAACTATGATTATGAATAAAAGGCATACGATTTTTTTGCATGATAAGTTTGGGTGACATCTACTGTTACATAATTGCCCTGTTTTTTTCGACAGGCACATCTATTCTTTCCTAACCCGAATAATCCAGTCGTTATATTACGCTCACTATCGAAAGGCGGAGAGAATCGGAGACGGTAAGGGCTTGAATTATTCGAGTTAATTCTTTCCAGAACATTCACATTTTAAAAAACCTTGCCCAATACAAATGGTAGACAGTTTAACTGCTTGTCGAAAAGATATGAAATTGTCAACAGATACAGCTGACGGACTCAAAAACAGGGAATCAGTGGGTTCAAACTGGTTTCTAGTGTTTGACCCTTACAAAATGCCAAGTTTGTTAGCAAGAAGATAACCTTCTCCGACTTTCCATGGACAATTGCCATTATATTTCTTGCTTCATCTTTTCCACGATCAACAACTGGGATAGGAATAACAACGTTTCATCAAATGTCTACTTCTTCTGAAACTCTATTAGACCGACGTAACATAGGATTGGCTTGTTTTCCATTGATTGGGAATCCTTTGCACGTTCATTTTCTATACCCTTTCCCGTATCACACAGAGAGCAAATTAATATTGGTGGAAACTCTTCTGATATAACCGATTTTCCATATAAAGCATGTACAGTTTGTTTACAATTAGAACATAAAGTTGTATGACACACAACACATATCAGGTTTTGATCATCATCATTTGTACATGTGTTTTCGTCATCAGTATTTATATTGAGCTCCATGTTTGCTAAATCAGAAAAATACTCTTCGCTGTCAGTTTTAGCTATAATTAAGTTCATCGGGGAGTGAGGATGATGTTAGCCCAACTTTTGCAAAGCTTTGTATGGAGCTCTGTTTATGCCTGAATGGTGTCTTCTGTTCTTTTCAAATTGTACAAATTTGACACTTAACAGGCCAGTCTATTCAAAGCATCTATGTGATAACCATATCCTTGATATCAGGATTAGCTTGCTTATTGGCACTTAGTATTAATAAAAAATGCTAAATTAACCTCATACTTGTAGATTGTAACTTCTGTAGGCTTTTTTAAGATAATTATTTTATCAAAAACAATTATTTTTTTTTACAAATTGCCTAAATTTAATTAGTGAATCTGTTAAAAAGATCTTAACTATTTCAGTGATTTTGTAAAATCCCTAGTCAAAATCAGGGATTTTATAAAATAACTAACCAGTTCAGTGATTATACAAAATCCCTGAAATTTCAGCGATTTTACAAATTCACTGTAACATATTTACTATAAGTCTCCTATCCTCGGCTCCAAAGACTGTTTTTATAAAGAAACCTGTTTATTCACTTGATTTAGATTTAAGGGATTTTTTTCAGTATCAGAGAGATTTGGAAATATAGGATTATCTATATCAATCTCATTAAAAAGAATTATTGATACTTATTTTTTTGGTTATTTTGACAATATAGTAAAAATAGGTTTTAACCATCTTCATCTTCTACGGTTTTACCAAGGAGGTTGTATGAGACATACAACCCTCCTTGGTTTTACAGATTATATACGTTCTTTGGCTTCCGATGAATTTGAAATATCTGCCCTTTTCTATAAGTAAGTTATGATCACTAATACTTATGTTTGTAACTAAGCTTCCAGTTTCAAAATTTGAATATCTTCGATAAAACTCTCGGTCGTGTTTGTCGTTAATAGATATAAGAAGATGTGGTATGAGTGCCAATGAGACAACTCTCCATCCAAGTCAAAATTTATAAAAGTAAACCATTATAGGTCAAAGTACGGTCTTCAACACGGAGCCTTGGCTC